AGAAAGAAAAGATAGATAGATAGATAGATAGATAGATAGATAGATAGATAGATAGATAGATAGATAGATAGATAGATAGATAGATTATGGAAGTATAAAAATATATATAAATAGATAAAATAAGAACAGATAGATAGATAGATAGATAGATAGATAGATAGGTAGATAGATAGATCAGAGGCTTGGAATCCTTGTTGTGTTCAGCTGTTCCTGGTATGCCTTTCCAATAAGATGCATCCTCGAGTGGAAACGCTTAAATACAAATAAAACACAAAATAAACCCCAAGAAAAGCAAAGGAAAGAGTTCCTCCGAAAACAATAATGATTTTAATTCAGTATTGACACTTGCAGCATCTTGCAATAATGCGCAAGGTTTCAATCGAAGCTGCTGTTTTATCGCAGTAATGGAAGAGACTCGTAAACTGCTAACGCTTTTTATATTCTGCGACATAAACAACATCAACATCTCGGCTTTATAGCCTTTTATAGTTCGCTAAACAGTTTACAGGCTTTTTTGGGGGGCGATTACAAACGCCATGGTTGACGTGCGAGCAGCACCAAACCTTTATCAATAATAGGGGAATTGATCATTAAAATGTTAAATATGACTGGCTCGTTTGTTGTAAAATATGTTTAGCCTAAGAAACTGTATGATTTGATAACTTGTATTAAAATACCAATTACATTTATTGGACCTCTAAAAACTCGTCGCAATTAAATCGTGTACTTTTACCGTTTTCTAAACCGACCCTGACATTTAAAAAGGCTAAAACTGCCTCGTTAAAATTTCCAAATTAACGACTAAATGTCCCTCTCTTTAATTTCCAGCACTCCCCAAAAATCAATCTTTGGGGTGGGCTAGGTATGTGATTTGTTGTGAAGAAGAGATATCTCATTAGAGGAGGTAGTTAAACATATTTAATCCGTATATTTTCTCCACCTCTCCCCCTCTCTGCTCTATCTCCTCTTCTCCTCTCCCTATCCTGCGCACAGTCCGTGTGGAGCCCAGGAAGCCAATAGGAGGAGGCTTTGGTAATAGATGCAAATGTTCGTGAAAAGACGCTGCAAAATATGAAACAAGTCATTTGCTGCGAAGTAAATCACTGAAACTGTTTATGAACTGGCAATCCCTTCTTGGAAATGTAAAGGGAGAAGTCTTTTAAGTGGTATTTTTTTTTTAATATACAAAAAAAAACAAGGGATGCAATATCATCCAGGCATAGACTTTTGATTGTACCTTTCTTTTATATTCCTGGAAATCACAGACACACCAAGCCAGGATCTTTTTTTGCTGCTTCTTTTCCCCCTTTTGTTTTGTTAAAAGCATTAAAGAAAAAAAAAGAAATGAGTTCCTATTTTGTCAATTCACTCTTCTCCAAGTACAAAGCAGGGGAATCTTTGCGCCCCAATTACTATGATTGTGGCTTTGCCCAGGACCTAGGAGGCAGACCAACAGTGGTGTATGGACCCAGTGCTGGGGGCACTTTTCAACACCCTAGCCAAATTCAGGACTTTTACCACGGAACGTCGTCCCTTTCCTCGCCCCCTTACCAGCAGAATCCCTGCGCTGTAACCTGTCATGGGGACCCCAGCAGCTTCTACGGATACGACCCTTTGCAAAGGCAGAGCCTGTTCAGCAGCCAGGATTCGGATCTAGTGCAATACACCGACTGTAAGCTGACCTCAGCCGGCCTGGGGGAAGAAGCAGAGAGCTCAGAGCAGAGTCCTTCACCCACACAGCTCTTTCCCTGGATGAGACCACAAGGTGAGCAAAAAGTGGCAAAGTAAACCATAAACTGACCCAAGCACTTTACTGTTTTATGGGGGGCTAATCTTTACTGCTGGACACTTCCCCCAGCCTCATTTCCCAACCCTTTGTAGTGTGTCACTAAAGGAAATCCATGCATTGCTTTTATTTATTTTCTCTTTTTTTGGGGGGTTATTTTTGTTCCCTTCTGATTACTGCTTTCGCTGTCCTTTCCCTTTGTGTGTGTCCTCCTGCTGCTGCTGCTGCTGCCTCTGCTGCTGCTTACAACCCTTCATCCTTGTCCTTTTCTCCTCCTCAGCAGCCGCTGGACGCAGGAGAGGTAGACAGACCTACAGCCGCTACCAAACCCTGGAGCTGGAGAAAGAATTCCTCTTCAACCCTTACCTTACCCGCAAGCGGCGGATTGAGGTGTCTCACGCTTTGGGACTTACGGAGAGACAGGTTAAAATTTGGTTCCAGAACAGGAGGATGAAATGGAAAAAGGAGAACAACAAAGATAAGTTCCCCAGCAGCAAATGTGAGCAGGAGGAACTGGAGAAACAGAAAATGGAGAGATCACAAGACACTGATGAGCCTCTGGATGGACAAAAGGGCGAGAAGAGCCTGGACTGAGAAGCCCCCATTGATAAAGCCACTTGTCTCCAGCTCTCCCCTGCTGTCGTCCAATGTTCCTGGAATTAAGATACGGAAGGGGGCACAATGTTGCTGTAAAAGATGTAGCTGTAAATCGCCCCTTCTCTGTAAACTCATCCTGTTTGATACCTAAATGACCGGTGCCCCTAAGAACCAGGAAACCTGCTGTCTTCCTACCTGGTAGGGGAAGGGGGGAGGTGGGGGGAGAGGAAATGACTTTCTAGTGTCTGTGTATAACGCAATAGCTTTTGTGGATCATAACTTGGGGGTTTTGTTTTTTTTTGGTGGGGAAGGTTTGCTCTAGAAGTTTTTGTGTGCACTATTTCTCTATGTGGTTTATTGTATTTTCTTTCTATAAAACAACAGACAAAAAAACAGACCAACAACATGAAACTGCCTAATTCAGCTGTAGTCCCCCCTCTCTAACACATTGCTAGATGCCCCCTCTTGTTTTGTCCCTGGCACCCCGCATTCTCTGTGTGTGCGAGGATGTAGTTAGCATGCGCCCAGTGAAAAGCCACTTGTGATTTTTTAGGGTTACTGTGAACAGACTGTATACTGTATACGTGAATTCCTTTTATTTGGTGGGTAGGGGGGTGTCATTCTCTATTTTATGGTTCTGCACACTTTTGTCCTATTGTCTAAACATGGAAACGGCGGAAGAAGGAGTTACAATAAAGTTTACAAGAGGGACTGTGACATCATGCGTTTTGATGCTTCCCTTCCTCCTGGGAGATGGGTTGAAAAAAAGAAATAAATGTCATTTGTGTGTTCTGTACCATCCTTGAATCTATATGGGTTCCTAGAGACAAGAGGATGGTTGTGTTTAGTAGGGGGTTCGGGAGATGTTGGCAGACACAGTAAAACAGATGAGCTCTAGCCATAAATGTGTCCTTGTTGTGGATACTCATCATGAGATCCAGGTCATCCAGTTCTGTGTTTAAAGTTGTGGATCTCAAGCCATTTCACGAGTATCAGTACACAACTCATCTGAGTTAACCAGCTCCGTGGAAGGGAATGAGCAGCCGGTCCTTCTGGTATAACAGGGGCTAACATGAATATCAAAAAGTAGGCTTCTCATCTGGGTTCAGGTAGGTGTTAAGGACCAAAAGTGAACCCTGTATGTTTGTAAGCTTCTCCTCTGGGTCCAAGTAGGTGTAAGGGCCAAAAATGAACCATGTATGCTTGTAGGCTTATCCTCTGGGTCCAGGTAGGTGTAACGATCAAAAAAGACCCCTGTATGTTTGTAAGCTTCTCCTCTGGGTCCAGGTAGGTGTAAGAATCAAAAGGGACCCTTGTGTCTGTTTGTAGGCTTCTCCTCTGGGTTCAGGTAGATGTAAGGGCCAAAAGTGAACCCTGTATGCTTGTAGGTTTATCCTCTGGGTCTAGGTAGGTGTAAGGATCAAATGTGAACCCCTGTATAAAGAGCAAATCATTTCAGACGTGTAGGTGTGGATCATAACTTGGGGGTTTTGCCTGTATGTTTGTAGGCTTCTCATCTGGGTTCAGGTAGGTGTATGGAGCAAAATTGACCCCTGTATGTTTGTAGGCTTCTCCTATGGGTTCAGGTAGGTGTGAGGATAAAAACGGACCCCTGTATGTTTGTAGGCTTCTCCTCTGGGTTCAGGTAGGTGTAAGGACCAAAAGTGAACCCCTGTATGTTTGTAGGCTTCTCATCTGGGTTCAGGTAGGTGTATGGAGCAAAATTGACCCCTGTATGTTTGTAGGCTTCTCCTATGGGTTCAGGTAGGTGTGAGGATAAAAACGGACCCCTGTATGTTTGTAGGCTTCTTCTCTGGGTTCATGTAGGTGTAAGGATGAAAACGGACCCCTGTATGTTTGTAGGCTTCTCCTCTGGGTTCAGGTGGTGTAAGGATAACAATGGACCCCTGTATGTTTGTAGGCTTCTCCTCTGGGTTTAGGTTGGTGTAAGGATAAAAATGGACCCCTGTATGTTTGTAGGCTTCTCTTCTGGGTCCAGGTAGGTGTAAGAAACAAACCGGACCCCCTGTATGTATGTGGATTGCAAGCTCTTTGAGGGATGTGGACAGAGGGCAAGAAGGGATGTAGACGGACAAGCCTATGCAAGTGTACAGTGCTGTTTAATAAAGTGGGGCTATAGAGATAAATGGTGATTATAATGATGATGATGCTGGTAATATACAGCGCGGAGGGTGGTTAGAGGTGATCCACAGAGACAGATCCGACTAAGGTAAGTGCATTCTTAATTATAGCCCATAGTAGTAGAGGACAATTGCTCTCTCCAGCACGAGACTCTCGTATTGATGATCCGCTGGCATCTGCAATTTGAATGCCCATCCTGAGCACAGCAATAACATGCAATCACAGCTAAGAGGCACAATTCTTCCTCGGCTGGATGTTTTGGTCTTTTTGTGGTTTATCTGCCGGTCCAAGTCTGAGAGGCATTACGCACGATCCATTAATAACTATGGCACAGATAGCGCAATCTCACAGAACGCAGACAGGAGCGTTAGAGCAAAATCGATACAGAAATAAATAGGTTTCAGTCTTATTTTTTTTTCTTCTTCTTCTTCTGCCGGAGAATTTGAGCAAGCAGGTTTTTATCTCGCACGCCTTTTTGTCTCATTTGAAACAGATTACAGCTTACTTATCGACTACATTGCAATTTCCCTTTAAAACATAGATCTTAGAGGGTTAGAGCCCATCAAATATTTATCATATTTTATAAATCCAGCACTACAACAATTTTTTTTTTCCACATTACAAGAGCTGTGGGAAGCTCGGCCTGGATTGGATGGTGGAAAATCACGTGTGTGCCAGTCACATGGTCTGGGAGGAAAAAGGGGTCCTTTTTGGTGTAAATCTGGACTCTAATTCTGTAATATATCACGGTACCTCGTAAAACCGACACTAAAACGTCCCGGCCTACAAATCATCCGGCCAAATTATGAGTTCATTGTATTATGCGAATGCTTTATTCTCCAAATATCAAACTGCAAGTTCTGTTTTCCCATCCGGAGTGTTCCCAGAGCAAACTTCGTGCGCCTTCGCATCCAATAGCCAGCGCACGGGCTATGGCTCGGGGAGTGGGGCGACCTTCCCTGGATCCATGGCCGGGATATACAGCACTGGGAGCAGCCTGCACCCCCAGACCCCGGCCATGTACCCCCCTTCCAGCTACGGGCTGGAAGCCGCTTCCTTTAACATGCACTGTTCTCCGTTTGAGCAGAACCTCTCTCTAATGTGCTCCAGTGATTCCTCCAAGCAGAACTGCACCAAGACCGAACAGAGAGACTCAGAGCTGCAGAATGAGAGCAACCTCCGAATTTACCCCTGGATGAGAAGCACAGGTAAGACACTGAGAGCTGAAGGAAGAGGGAGGGAGGGAGGAGAGGGCACCTCGGGGATACATGGCAATCATTACATGGCGCCTGGGATTAATCATAGCTCCTCTCTATGGCGTCCTTCTTCAAGGGGTTCACTGCACAATGGCTGGGACCCCGCGAGCCCCTTCTCTTCTACTAGCCTAGTCTTCTAGCCAGCTCAGAGCATGACACACGCAGACTTTGGGGGATAGAGCCACAGACCTAACCTAATACTGGGCTGGAGATTTAGAGGCGCAGGAACTGTTCAGAGGGTATTTACAGGGACTGGGGAAGTTGACAAGCAAAACAAGCGTGCACCATAAAACCACTGCTAAGCTGCTATGCAAATAGGAGCCGGGGATGATACACGATGTGGAAATGCCCTGTATTTACTGTGAGGTGTCAGCTCAGTGAATGTGCAATAAGTGGCTGACAAAAGAGAATTAGATTCCCAGCAATTCACTGGCTGAATTATGCTGGAATGGGGGAACATAACTCGCTGCCCGGTGTGTATACTCAGTAAATCTATGTATAAAATTATCATTTATCTATCTATCTATCTATCTATCTATCTATCTATCTATCTATCTATCTATCTATCAGACATCATCAACTTCTAAACTTCTAGGACTGTTTATTCATGTGCATTTACGTGATGAAAATTCGTGACATAACACCTTTCCCCCAAGAGGAACTACATGTAAACTATAATAGTTATAGGCTGGTCTTTTTTTACATTAGTAAGCCTCTCTATGCTTATGGGACAGTCATTATTATCAAGTCTTCATCTTGACGAATTTTAATATGCTAAAAAAATAGGGGGGGGGGGGTCTGTTACAGTGACAGCTGGAAAGTCAGTTGTCAATAACAAAG